GTGTGTGTGTGTACGTGTGTACAGCATGTGCGTGCTGGAAGAAAAATAGCCTTTGTGTGAAGCAAGACATCACTGGTTTAGAGGTACACACATTCACAATAGACTGACATAACACTATTAGCACAATGGTTTTTAATTTTAAGCCATTTACTAATTCCTATCATTATCTTTCCCTACTTTATTGCAGACACATGCTGGGTTAATGTTTTCAGAGTTGTTTTGCAACAGTAATTGGATATTTTTTGAGTAGTTAGTGGCAATTCTGAACACATCAGTGTGGTTGCAAGGAGTTATAAGTGTCTGCCCTAATGTAAACTAATCTGGTTTATTAATGCCAAGTCTTATCTGCCATCCTGTTACCCTGTGAACCAATACAGAGAGATCCTTTGGGAACTCTTTGTAGATGAAAGTTTTGTTCCCTATGTAGACTTTTATGGTCCTAAATACTGAATTGTAATCTACATTTGACTAGGTCAGAGTCAATTTCCCTTTTTGAAGGTAATCATAATGTTGGCAAAACATGGACCAACAATTGAGTTCTGATGGAGTTCTTATCAGTGGAAAGGTTCCAGAATTGCATAACAAAAGTATAATTGCTATAAGATAATCAACACTTACTAATCATATCAAAAATAGGCTGGGGCTGTGAAGTCTAAGAACATATTTTCATTATGTAAAGTTTTAATTTAAGTAAAAGAAAATAATGCATAACAGTTTAATATGAAATACAGAATGATATAAAAAGATGCCACATTGTCACCAAGAGAAAGGAACTACACAGGCTACTAACATTAGAACAAATTACTCAAGGTCAAAGAAAATGGGGACATGAAAATCAAGGAGCAATGGAAAATTCCAAAAACAAGAAAAGCTTTTCAAAATATTATTGAAAAGTGTAATATATAATGTCTATTTGTAGAGAATCAGCATTAATTAGGCAAATGAGACTTCCCAATTATTCATAAATAATAGTAGAATAGTAGTTGCAAAAGTTGTTTCTTTCTTGAAAAAATGAATAATAATAGAATAAAAGCTGTCAAAACTTTTTTAAAAGCACTTTAGTCAATGATTGGTGAATATAAATTATATACCCATATGTATAGACTACATTAAAGTGATTATATCACTTCTCTCTTCATTCCTTTTCCTATTTGAGCTTTAAAATGTTATAACTATTATTTTGTATTCTATGCAACAGAGTTCTTCAATTTTTATTTTTCTGAAGTAATTTCATACTCTAATTAAGACTATAAAGATTATTAAGGATCTCTTCAAATACATTTTTAAGGAATACAATCTATAATTAGTTTTCAAAACAAAAGTACTGTATTTTTTGGAGTATTCCCCCCCCCCCAAAAAAGAGGGTGAAAATCTGGGTGCTTCTTATACACTGAATACAGCATTTTTGGCCTCCCTAAACCCCACCCCTTCACAAAAATGGACATGCAGAGGGTTTGGGAGGCCTACAAAATGCTCCTGGGGGCTGGGGAGGGCTAAAAAACAAGCAAAAAACAGACCATTTTTTTGCTCATTTTTGCCCTCCCCCCAGCCCCCAGGAGCACTTTGCAAGCCTCTCATATTGTCTGCATGCCCCATTTTTCACAAAAAATGAAGCATGCAGAAGGTTTGGGAGACCTGCAGAGTGCAAAAACTTTTTAAAAATTTACTTCTTCAAAATCTTGATGCGTCTTATGCTCTGAAAAATACGGTATGTTTGATTCGAAATGTGTATTTTTCCCTTTATATGAAATGTGTATTTTCCACTTTATACTGAAAACAAATGAACATTCCATTATTCTACTGAATATCATAATAAAATAATACTCATTTTCAGTTATCTGTTAACATTCAAATGAAGGACAGTTTGTGATTAGCAAGTTTTTACCAACATAAAAAGAGAAAATCCTCTGAGTTTTCTTTTCAACTCCTTGCAGGAAACTATTTCAAATGTGCCTTGAATCCAAGATTAAATTATGTGACTGGGCTTTAAGATTTATCTTTCATATCATTGCCTTGATATTTCATATTATTAAACACTCAGCACCAGTAGGAGACCACTGGGAATGATGCTTTGTTAAATTTATCTATACAGTTGCTGCGTGTGGATGTGTCTTAGTAGCCTCCAAGATTGTTTTGCAGAGAAATAAAATTGCATGCATCTTATTTATGAAATCAAATCTAGGATTTTGCATTGTAAAAATATAGAGCTTACCAATTCTTTCATAAGCAAAATTACACGTTTCCTTTAACATGAAGTGAATTAAATTATATACAAAACTCCAGGGTGATATATAGTATTAGCAGAAATAAGTTTTTGAAAATCTTATCTATTTATAATAGGATGATTGGCAACCAGTCTTAAATGTGAACAGCACCCATAATGTAATTACATGACTGTGGGAGTGTTTATGACATTTTACATTGGCTGGAAGTGCTTAGTTGGCTGTAAAGGAATCTTTCAGATGCTGTCAAAACTATAAATGGTTGTTAAATAATAAGTCCAAGTCAAGAAGAATTACCTGTAGCAGTTTGCTTTTCAGTTTCCTTTACTGCAAAAATATCATGCTTCTAATCCTGGAGAAAGAAATATCTCACAGGCTGAGAATAAAATGAGCATGATTTTCCAAAGGGGGAAAAAAGAAAATAAAAACAGAGAACAGAACACTAAATGAAGCAAAAGGGGGCATGTAATTTGTTTAGAAAAAACAACCCAAAAAAACTTTGTACACAAGGAGTTCTGAATCATGCACTGAACATAATGTAGTTATCATCTATATTCTTTATTGAGGTGATACTATCGTAAGACGTACATTTTTAAATCCCATTTTATAGGCATAAATGAGGATAAGGCGTCAACTAGTTAAAGGAAAATAAGGATTTGTCCCTTCCTCTTGGGTATGTAATAATTCAGTCTAACGTCTGATTTCTATAAGGAAATATATAAAGTGAGATTCCATGTCTTCCAACTATCTAAATTGCCCAAGACCACCAGTATGTCATTTTGCAGCAAATCCCAGGCCCTACGGAGCAAAAATCACTAAATGATAATTGAACACTTTACTGGTGTTCCATTTTCAGCTCATAACAGGCATTAGATAGCCTCTGTTCAGAACGTACTGTATATAGTTAGCATCCTGGATGACAACCACTGAACTCAAGTATTGCTAATATAATCTGCAATCAGAAATATTTCAGTCCAACCTTTTATGCTTTTTGTAATGGAGTTGGGTTTCTACTAAACAATAAAAATAAAACAATAAAACCTTCTATTTCAACTTGCTTAGAAATCTATTCAATAATTTTAGTATAGGGCTCACCATTTTGCATGTTTTTGCTTTCTATAAGTTTAAATAATTGACAGTAAGTAGGTTGCTATGCGATCTATGCAACTTTACTAGAACCACCCAATATATTTTCTTATGAGTACTTTATTGATTATTGGTTGTGACAGAACATAATATATTCATCCTCCATACATCATGTGTACTCGGAAGAGTCACATAAATAATATGCAGCTGATCATCTACTGTATATGAATTTTACAGTGCACTTATGTAGAATGTTCACACAGGAATGTAAATGTGTGGAAGAGAAAAAGCTCCATCCAACCCATTCAAGATGTATTTAAATATTTTACCCCATTGGCATTTAAAACAATACAGGCTAGACTGTATTAAACTAAGGTTCTACAGTGATCCTACAATCCAAAACATATTGGGAAGCTTGTCTTGTACATTCTGCAGCTGTGCAGAAATGTCCCTGTTTAAAAATGATTTGATTAATGAAATGACAGGCTACCAGATAATGTATATTTACAAAGAATCATTATATATTATCTTAAAAGATTTGCCTGATTACATAAGGAAACATGGTAGTAAACGTAACAAAAAAAAAACCCCATCTGGGCCATGAAATAAGAGAATTACACCTCAGGAAGGAAGGTTAATGAAGAAAAAAATAACACATGGTTTTATGCTAGTAAACTTTAGGACCAACATTAGGAAGAAGGATAAAGATGTCTTCTTTCTTTGAAAGTAAATACACAGCTCATGTAAGAGACATGTTTGATCCAGTAGTTAAGGCACCAGGCTAGAAATTGGGACATGGTGAATTCAAGTCCTGTCTTAGCCAGCTGGGTGACACTGGGTCAATCATTCTTTCTCAGCCCAATTCACCTCATAGTGTTGTTGTTGAAAGGAAAATATGAGGCGGGATGTGTGTTGGATAAGTTCATTACCTTGAGTTATTTGTAACAATAATAAATGCATGATATTAAATCAATCAATCAATCAATCAATGTCCTACAAGTAAGGGCATTATTTTGGCTCATTAATTATCATCCACAGATGTTAGTACAGATAGTCCTTGACTTATGAACACAATTGAGTCCAGAATTTATGTTGCTATGTGAGAAATGTATTAAGTGAGTTTTGCCCCATTTTACGACTTTTCTTGCCCCATTCGTTAAGTTGTTGTTAACACTGCAGTTGTTAAATTAATAACATGGTTATTAAGTGAATCTGGCTTCCCCATTGACTTTGCTTGTCAGCAGATCACAAAATATGATCACATGATCTCGGGACACTGCAACCGTCATAACTGTGAACCAGTTGTCAAGCATTTGGATGTAAATCACATGATGCTGCAATGGTTGTAAGTGTGAAAAATAGTCATGAATCACTTTTTTCCGTGCCGTTGTAACTTTGAAAGGTCACTAAATGAACTGTTGTAAGTTGAGGACTAACTGTAATTCTAGCATTAAAAGTAAAGCAAATGATTCTCCCTGACGGTGCTAGAGAATTCAGAAAGGCCTCTGCATTATTTCTGACAATGTTCTTATTGAAAGGCTCTTCACAAGTGTAAAAGCAGATAAAATGGATTTTTTTTAAAAAAAATCAATATTTCTTTGTAATAAAAAGCAATATTTTCTCAGTTCACATCTTCTAAATACTAAACCAAGAAATACCATATTTGGAAAAGAGGCAAGAAAACCTACTTACCCCAGCCAACACAAAGGTAAAGTCGAAAGATTCTCTGCTCTGAAAATACTGAGAGGGCTAGTAGAGTATACAGGTACATTCCTTCCACCAGTAGCCAGTAATAGTTTGCAGTCACACAATATTGCATCATCACAAAGATCAAGCGGCAGCTAAGTGACTCCTGAGAGGGCAGAGATTTGAGTAAATACTTTAGATGCTGCAGATCATGAAAAATGTAAAGTGCCCATGAAACCACAATGTCACAACGCCCTCAACGATTTGATAGTAGAGCAACCTTTGGAAATGGTCAACAGACGGCTAAAAAAATAATCAAATTCAGCAGCAAACATTCCTTCACTATACAGCCCTTTAGCATGCCTATTTGACCTATTTCTTAGCTGCCTTGAACCATTATAATGTTTTCATCTATGTCCAAGGAGACATTTATATTGTGCCCAAGAGGCAGCTTCCCTTATGCTCATCCTCCACAAAATATCTCTCTCTCTCTCTCTCTCTCTCTCTCTCTCTCTCTCTCTCTCTC